CAACCAAACATACACACACACACACACACACACACACACACACACACACACACACACACACACCCTGATCACGCACGCAGCGGCTGAGCTCAGGCTGTGCGGTGGCCGCCTGGCTAAGCATCCGACCTCCCAGGGTGTGAGTCAGGTCTGGGTCAGTGCCTAACCAGGAGAGCGCAGGGGAGCTCAAGCCTAGCGCTTTCCTTGAACTCTTCCCGCCTCGCTTCGTTATTCGTGGGGAGGGCAGTGGCGCATGCTCTTAGTTATCAGAGTGGGAGAGATCCACTGGATGCGGTTGATGCCTACGGTTTTAGTTAATGAAGATTCCTGACTCTCAGAGGATGGAGAGAAAGAACTTGGGTAGCCGGTGTGGGTAGCAGTGGACTTGGCCTTACCGAGTAAAGATGCACCTGCAGAGACTGGTAGTGATTTCTCATGTGATCCCAACACTCAGGAGGCTGAGGCAGGAGGACAGCCACACATGTAAAACCAGTCTAGGCTATAGTAGTGAGTCCAAGACCAGCCTGGCTACAGAGACCCTGCCTCCAAATCAAAACAGAGAAGAGAGAAAAGGGAAGGCTGGAAGTGCGAGTTGGTGGAAAGTTTGCCTAGCCTGCACGAAGACTTGGGGACAGTTCTGATGGTCTGAGTGTGATCCTGGAACCTATAGGGTAAAAAGGAGAAAACTTGTTCCTGCAAGTTGTCCTCTGACCTCCACATACATTCATGCTGTGCTGCTCACAGAAAACACACACACACACACACACACACACACACACACACACACACCAAAGAGACGTTTTAAATTGTTTTTAAAATAATAAGAAAATATAAAAATTATCTTAAAGGTTTGCTTATTTGGATTTATTTATTTTTATATGTGTGAGAGTTTTGCCTGCATAGGTCTGTGTACCACATGCATGCAATGCCCACGGAGGCCAGAAGAGGGCATTGGATTCCCTTGGACTGTAGTTAACAGATAGTTGTGAGCTCTCATGTGGGTGCTGGGAACGGAACCCTGGTCCTCTGGAAAAGCAACCAGTGTGCTTAACAGCTGAGCCAACTCTTCAGCTACTCAAATATTGTATGATTTTTTTTTTAAATAAAAGTTTTAGACCAAGGAAGTGGAATGTCAATGCCCTGGGAATAGGGCTGGATTAATGGGTGCGAGTTTGAGACAGTGGCCTGTAGCTGTGTGGGGGTTTTTCCCCCCTTGGTAAAGGGAGATTAAGCAAATGGAAGAGAAGAAATACATCCTCAGTTCAAGGCTTCCTATGATCTGGCTCAGCCTAACCCTTCATTCTTATCACTTACCACAGTCTGACTGATCCTGGTTGTGGTTGACTGTAAATGTCTCTCGGAGCTGCCCGAGCCCTCCCTAGCGACCTCTTTTCCTCTACATCTACCTGACCTCCACCTTCCAAGAAACCCTCCCATCCGTTCAGCCCCCAGACCATGTTCCTCCCAGCCACCTCTCCATTCAGTGCCTCTCCACCACTTACAAAGATGTGATACTATATCCCCGTGGCTGTCTCCACTCTCCAGACGGCCCTTATATCTTTGGCAATAAATGTTTATCTTTTTTTACTCAGTAAACATTTGTTGGGAGATGAATGTGTCTATTAGGGTCTTGACAGAGAATGGACACCATATTCAAACTGAGCAATGTGGTAACGAACGGGACTTCTTACATTTGTGAACAGGGATGTGGGAAACCACAAGGGTTTCACACTGTCCCAAGCCTACAACAGAGAGGTTTACTGGAGTCCAGAGAGAAAACTCCTTCGGGGGTGAGGTGGGGTGGGGCAACCTTGTGTGAGAGGTTCAGCCTTTCTGCAGGGACTCTTAAAGGAAAAGACCGGACGGGAGGTAACTATTCCACTGTTACCCTCCCTGTCCATCTCCTGGAGAGGTCCTCCAGTGGCTAAGCAGAACCTCCTCAGACACCGGGGGTGGGGGATGGGGGGGGTTGAGGGGGGTTGCGGGGGAGGCTGTAACTCTTGCAGGTCAGCGCCCCAGGGCACAGAGCCGAGTGAGCAGGGCCAAGCATGACAGCAGGTGTGTAAGACGTTCGTTATTCTCAACCAAAAAAGTTCAACGTGGTGCTTTACTTTTGGCCTGAGTAGACCATATTTTTGCATTTCCATCTCTTGACTGTGTGGATTGCTCTATCTGCTCCTCCGTCCTCTACCCTTGGCCTTGCCTGTGTTCAGGAGCCTTCAGTCTGCAGAGAGGTTCTTAACCTTCCTAACGTTGCGACCCTTTAATCCAGTTCCCCATGCTGTGCTGACCCCCAACCATAAAATTATTTTCGTTGCTACTTCATAACTGTCATTTTGCTACTGTTACAAATCGTAATGTAAATATCTGTTTCCCGATGGTCTTAGGGAACCCCTGTGAAAGGACCATTCGACTCCCAAAGGGGTCAAGACCCCCAGGCTGAGAACCACTGGTCTCAGCCTTCCTTGTCCTGTGGCTTCCAGCCGAGTTTGGTGGATGGATGCTGCTCACAGGCTAAGGGAAGGGGGTGTGAATTCACCTATTAGCCCCACAGTGGTGTCTCCATGTCGGGTCATTTTTTCTTCATTTCCCTTTCTGTTGGTATTTTCTGATATGCTCTCTTCCTGGTTCTCAGGGGAGGTGGAAGGCACTACCAGGCCCCCTCGCCTCCCCAGGCTCTCACCTCCCAGTGGCTTGTCCTGCTTCCCATCTGCCTTGCTATGTTGTTGTTGCCTCAGTCTGTTTACGCCTCTGAAAATACTCAACCTATTCCACCTCCTCAAAATAAAGCCTTTGTGTGAACTTGGCGTTTCCTGACGGATTCTGACTAATATAAAACGGAAAAATACTGATCTGGTCATACTGTGACCCCAGTCTCGCCCCAGGCAGGCACCTTCAATCCCTGTAACCCACTTGATGGAAATGGAGAGCAGGCTCTCTGGAGCTCTTCTCTGACCTCCACATGTTCACGTGACCCCTGCGCACCCCTAGCCCCCATGCACACAGAGATAAGTAAATAAAAATGTAAAACCATCTAAGAAGCTGGATAAAGAACTGAGAGCCAGTACCATTCCTCCATCAAGCTGGCCTCCTTAGTGTTCCACCGGGAACGGACAGCTCACGTTCTGTCTCATTGTGAATGCATGGGTACGTTCAGTGAGACGAAAATCAAAGATGCAATCACAGTTTCTCCCTTCCTTTTTCCTAGACAAGAGGTTTGGGGATCAGAAAGTTATACGTTCAGAAGTCGAGGACCTGCCTAGAATTCATGAGGACCTGGGGGTTCTGGTCTCCAGTGCTGAAAGAAAAAAAAAATGTCCCAGTCACTTGTCCAAGGTCAAGTGACTCACAGCTGAGATTGTGATTCATGATGCAAGCCAAGCCCTAAAAGTGGTCAAAGGCTCCTTAATGAAATAGAAGGATTAGTGTTTTAAAGTCGGAGCCCCGCTAATGGGGCGAATATGCTTTCATCAGGGGAGGCATGTCAAAGGCAGGCAGGTAGGTTATCTCCAGGAATTAGTTTATACACTGGGAGGGGTGACTCCCTGGGTACACCAAATACCAGAGATGACTAATACTGAAAATAAGAAAATATAACAAACACAGCTTGGAACCGTTGTTGACAGAGAGTATTTAAAAACACATTCATGCTGACAGACTGAGGGGGTTAGAGCCTCAGATAAAGCTAGGAGTTAGCAAGTGAATGGAATGCCCTGAAACATGTTTCTCATAATCAAGGTCCCACACACAAACCAAGTTTTATAAGTACATTGGGCTGTGTGAGTGGGACATTGTACTGTGTAAGGAACTGGGCTATGCAATTAATGAGGACTCCAAACCATAGCTCTCTACCTTTGGAGTTTTTTTACTGGGCCTTTCTGGTCGGCTTTACAATAACAGAAACAGGTATTCTAATGATAATCCTCCCGTCGCAGATGCAGTTTTTAAAGGGCTTTCATAGGCAGCACACCTCAGAAATAGGTTTCCAGAATTTGACCTCACACTCATAGACCTCAGGGCCTTAGTGAAGTGTGAAAGGATCATGTAAGCATGAAAAAGAACTCTGACTAGAAGAGAGAGTCTCAGTCTTTCCCTTTCAAAAAATTTATTTTGTTTGTGAGTGAGTGAATGTGTGTGTGTGTGTGTGTGTGTGTGTGTGTGTGTGTGTGTGTGTG